GGTTCACTGTATCTGTGAACAAACACTCCCCTGGTTCCCCCGGAGGGACTTGGGGCACCTCTCTCTACCCAGCCTCTCTTAGGGGAAGCCTTCCACCACAGCATGGGGGCTCTGCTGAGCAGGGCCCCCCACCTCCCCCGCATCGTGCCCATGGCTAAGTTGCCAATGATTTTTGTAAAAAACAAAGCAAAAACAAAACCCAAACCTGTCCCATGTAGGCGATTCTGGCTCACAGCGACCTTGTAGGGCAGAGTAAACAAGACTGTCACTCCCAGCTCAGAAAGAAGGCCAGCATGGCTGAAGCACTTTCACCAGCCCAAGGAAGGCTCAGGCAATGCAGTCTGTCCCTGGAAAGCTGGCCTGGCCGTGGGAAAGTTCCAGACCGAAAACGGCTGCTTCCGGGAAGCGCGGAAAAGCCACATGGAAAATGTCCTGCAAGTGGAGTCCACAGAATCAAGAGTCCACAGAATCAAACTGAAAAAGAAAGAGAGAGAGAGAGAGAGAGAGAGCGCGCGAACTGCGAGGGAGAGATCCCACCTCCGACTTGAGAGAGACCCGGCCTTGTCTCGGCCCCCACTGTGGGGTCTGACCTTCGCGGCTGAGTTTAGGCGCATGTGGCTGATGCCTGGTGTGCATGCCCAGGTTGACCTTCCCCTGCGCCCAGGTGACCCTGGCCTGAGCATGCCCAGCTTTGGATTGTCCCCAGGGGTGCCTGATTCCTCTCACTCCCCTTTATTGCAGCCTGGCCAGCTCATTTTTGTTTAGCGTTGGGAACTGCCCCCTCCCCTCATCTTCCCACCTGTCCCTGTCCAGCCCCTCATAGACATATGACAGTGGGACATTGAACAAGGAAGCCCGAAGGAGAATCGGTGCGTCTGAATTGTGCTGCTGGTGAGGAACGTGGAAAGCACCACAGGGTGCCATCTGTCACAGCCTGAACGCTCCTTCGAGGGAAGGACGGGGAGCCTTGGTCTCGTGGACTTTGGCATGTGATCAGGAGAGACCAGGCCTCGGAGAAGGACGTCATGCTCGGCAGGGGAGCAGGGAAGAGAGAGGAAGAGGAAGACCCACAACCAGATCGACGCACCCGGCGGCTGCCACCGAGGACGCAGAGGTCAGCAGGATGGGCAGCGCGCACTGTTTCATTCTGTTGTCCGCAGGGCTGTCGGAGTGGACGGCGCCCAACCACTGCCCGTGGGCCCTCTGAGGCTGCCCACTCTGGGGGGCGGGGAGCAGCCTGCTGCACATCGACCTGGGGGCTCCAACTGCTAGGCTTCTGCAGCATGTAACCACTGCCCGCCGCGCCCCCCAGGATATTTACAACAGTCCCGCCCGTGTGGAAACCCCATCAACTTAGAGCGGTGGTTCTCAGCCTTCCTTGAGCCGCCATCCTCTCAGACAGTCATAACATTATTTTCGTTGCTACTTCATCACTGTCATTTTGCTACTGTTATGAATCGTCATGTACATATCTGATAGGCAGGATGTATTTGCATTGTTACAAATTGAACATAATTAAAGCATAGCGATGAATCACAAACCAATATGTAATTATAGTTTGTGAAATATTTATTTGTAATGACAAATGAAATTTTGTCTTTAAAAAAATCATTTTGTTGGGGGCTCATACAACTCATCACAATCCATGCATCCATCCATTGTGTAAAGCACATTCGTACATTCGTTGCCCTCATCGTTCTCAAAACGTTTGCTCTCTACGTAAGCCCTTGGTATCAGCTTGAAATGTTGTCTTGAAGCATGGTGTCGCATGACTGGCAGTCTTCACGCCTGGTACTCACGTGCGTACCTGCATGTGGTTGGACCCGCCTGGAGACGGATAGAGGAGCGGGGTTTCGGTTCCTAAGGCCATCGGAAAGACGTGTTTTCTGATAGTCTTAGGCGACCCCTGTGAAAGGGTTGTTTGACACCCCCCCCAAGGGGTCGCGACCCACAGGTTGAGAACCGCTGGCTTAGCGGTAGGTTCTCTGGGAAGGGAGAGAATTGCCGACAGCTGTGTTGGCAGAAGAGGGCGCGATACTGGCTGGAATAGAAAACTCACCCCCTCGACGAGCCCCCACCCCCCATCTCCCCACACGTCTGTGCAGGTTGCACGTTGTCCTCTGGGTCCAGGCGGTGCCAAGCCAGGCTTCGGGCGGGGCTGGCAGGCCACCTGTCATTTCAGCCTGCAGACTTATGCATTCTTGGTTTTATCACTGCCAGGGTTTAGTTGCAGAAAGGTTTCCCCTCCCTAAAACGTGGCAAGACAACCACAGGCACCTCAAGGGCCCCGGTGGCGCCCTGTGTTATGAACTGCAAGGTCAGGAGTTCTAATCCGACCTCCACTCTCAGGAGAAAAAACGAAACTTTCTTATCCTCAGCCCTGCGTAGGGCTTGTTATTTTGGGTGAGTGAGGCGTTCCATTCGTTGTGTCACCTCAGAAGGCTCACGTCACCTCTCTGGACTGCTACGATGAGGAAATACGGGGGCCATGAGCTTGCTCTGTATGAGAGCAGGAGACTCGATTTGATGGCCTCTCACGTTCTCTCCCAGGGTTAATCCTGAGGTTCATCTTGCCGCTCCCTCTACATGCAATACCCAAATAGGCCACAGGATGGAGGTGTTACTCTGCGAGAAAAGCTTTGCCGCTTACCCTTCATCTGGTGCCATAATAGTAAGAACTGGATCGCTAAACGCAAGGCCAGCAGTTTGAAACCACCAGCCTCTCGGAGAGAGAAAGTCGAGGCTCTCTACCACCGCAAAGAGGACCCTTCTATGCAGTCTTATGGGGTCACTATGGGCCAGAATAGATGGCTTCAAACCCCATATTCCAGAACCAGAGATTAGAGGTGACAGCAACGTGCAAAGAGGAATTTCAGTAGTGCTCGAAAGTTCAGGCAGAGGCTTTAAAATCTTTTAGCGGTAGATCCTGACCAAGTTACCCCGTGTTTAATGCCCAATTTTGTTTTCTACCCAAAATGAGCTTATGTCATAGAGTCACCAGACCATTGTCAAGCCTTGAGGTAGCATCTTGGTCCCCCAAAGGGTATATCTGCTGTGTTTTTCTCCCTTGACACCTTGGTTCACAGAACTCCTGAGCTATCATAAACACCCAGAAAACACGTGTGGAAATGAATTATCCCATGATTTCTTCCTAGTACAATACACTCATGTGTTTCTGTTAATCGTGACCGAGGAGGTTCCAGCCCATAGCAGCCAAAGGTGCACAAGGAAACACTGCCAGGGCCACGTCTTCCTCACATCGTGGCTGTGTTGGGGCCCGGGCGCAGCCTCTGTGCCCATCCATCCAGTTGAAGGTCCCCCTCTTTTCATTACCCTCCGTTTTACTAAGCAGGGCACCCTTCCCCAGCCGATAACATGTCCAAAGTAAATGAGATGGATTCTCACCCTCCTCATGTCTCAGGAACACCCTGACTGACAATAGCAAGGATTTCCTGTGTTCCCACCCAGGGCCCCATGGAGGTGATTCATCAAAATCGAGGACTTTTTGGCTAGAATGTAGTTCCTCTGTTTTCTAGAGGCAGCTGCCTCAAGGACCGGATTTCCAGGATTTGGGGTGTGTTGGGGAGGAAGGACATTTCCTAAAGTAAAACAGGGAGTGGCTGTTAGGCTAAGTCTAGCAGAGACTACCTCGGACGACTATCACGTGGAAAGAGAATGCCCAAGACCCGCAGGGAATCAGCCAAGAGAGAGCCGGGGCTCCGTCATCCCAGCGGAGGGCCCGACCTCCGAACGAGGAAGCATCTTGGGAGTTGCAGTGCTCAGAGCACCTGCAGAAGGGCAGCCCCGGGGCTGTGCACCCACCACGTGCTCCTCCCAGAGAACATTCGTAAATGTTAGTGAAACAGGGAGTCCCTGCGTGGTCGCCAAAAACTAACTCAAAGGTTGGGGATTGGGGTCCCCTGAGAGGCGCTTTGGAAGAAAGGCCTATCTGTTTCCCCCTCAAATCATGACAAGTCCATTCCAAATCCCAAGTGGCACAGCTCTACTCTGACACCCCCGGGGGGGCCCCCAAGAGAAGAGCACAGCACCACGGGTTTTTGTTTCCAGGACTATGTGCAGGGACGGTGTGTTATCCAGCAGTAAGAAACCGCAGGGTTTTCCCTGAGTGTGGCCTCTCGTGGCGTCTGAGGCGGGGCAGCCACAAGACAAAGCCACCAGGCAGCACATCTAGGGCTCAGCTGGAGGCGGGCCGGTCTTCTTGGTCAATTCTGACCCCGTGGACCCCATGTGACAGACAAGAACTGCCCCGTGGGATTTCCAAGGCTGTCACCTTTATAAGCGAACCGTGACCGGATCCCTGGAGGTGTGTAGTGCCTACGCACTGGGCTGCTAACCGCAAGGTCGGCAGTTTGAAACCACCCAGTAGAAAGATGGGGCTTTCTACTCCCATGAAGAGTTTCAGTCTGGAAAACTCCCGGGGGCAGTGCTACCCCGTCTTGCAGGGCTGTATGAGTCCGCATCAACTCGAGGGCAGGGAGTGTGGTTTTGTTTTTAGGGTCCCTTAATGGAGCTGAATCCAACCCATGGCCCCCAACAGCAGCCCAGGCTGACTGCTGGGTCTTGGTGAGGCTGGCATGGGAGGAGACAGGCCTCAGCCTCTCTCAGCGGCAGACACAGTGTGCCAGCATCATCCAGCTGTGGCGAGGAGAAGGGGAGTGTGCTGAGCGTGGTCCCTGGCCCACAGTAGACCCCTGACTTGGCATTAAAGAAAAAGTGGGGTTTCTAGGCAGAGAAGGGAGATGGGAAAGCCGGGGGCAGTGTTTTGGGTACAGCAGTGAGAGCCACTGCCGGGAAAGGACAGAGTCAGGGCAGAGCTGGTCGGTTCAAGGATGGTGTTCTCAGGGTTTCCAGTATGTTCCGTGTTGTAACAATATGTACCCCGACTACCTGTCCATAAGGGTGATGCTGGGTCGGGGCTGTGACCTACATCCTGTGCACCAAGATCACAGGGATAGAATCCTCTGCACCCACGAAACAACAATGGAAGGAGTCCCTGAGCGGTGCGCAGTTAATGGGCTCAGCTGCTAGCCCAAATGAAAGGTTAGAGGTTCAAATCCAACCAGAGGTCCCTCAGAAGAAAGGCCTGGCTCTCTGCTTCCAGTAGGTGCCACAGTTTCAGCCAGACCCCCGTGAGCCCATTGACTTGCCCACAAGCAGCATCCTCACTGTGAGGGATGGTGGGGGAGACACAACACACAGAGGTGGACAAGGCTGACCAGTTTATTGAATTTTCACAATAATAAAAATAAATTAGTCATACATAAAAATAGTTATCTTTTTTTTTGCTGAAGAGAAAACAGACTGTATTCACTCATATAATTCACCCCCTGAAATAGTCATTTAACACTAGGGCAAGGGTGGTGCGGCGGAGCTGATGGATTGGGGAAGGCTCCTTGCTCTCAGCCTGGGGTCACAGGTCAACCCAGCGACCGGCCGCAGCAGTGCCCAGTGGGAACCCAGCAGGGCAGGCCGGACGGCAGCCCTTGCCTCGCCCACAGCACCCCCGTACCTCCACACAACGTTCTGCTGGTGATTCTGATAAAGGACGTCAAACAAAGAGAAAAACAGCCCCTCTGGTTTCTTTCTCCAGGGACCTGGTGGTGCAGCAGTGACATGTTTGTCGATGAACCCAAAGGTCTGAGGTTCAAACCCACCAGTGACTCCAGGGGGGGGAAGACTGGGTGACCAGCTTCCACGAAGCTAGAAAAACCCACAGCCACTGAGTCCATTCCAACGCCGGGCCACGCTCTGCAGGGCTTCTGAGGCGGTCAGGCTGTGTGGAGCAGCCAGCCACAACGTATTCCCTTAGAGCAGCAGGTGGTTTTGAACCGCTGGCCTGCTGGTTAGCGGTCCAAAGCTTACCTGGCATCCTCACCAGCTTACAACCTAGAAAACCCTGTGGGTAGTCCTGTCGGAATCGCCTTGGGGGCACACGCTAACAACGTTTCCTTCTCCGAATGCCGAGGGGCGAGAAGAAAGCAGAGGATACGAGCAATTCTACAGTTTAAGATGAGAGGTCGCCATTCAGGCGGGGCCGAGCCAGGCATTCCGGCAGGGTGGAAAGCCCCTGAAAAAATAATAATTAAAAAAGCCCTAATCATTTATATTGGCCGCTCTTATTACCACTCAAGGAGTATCAATATACTAAAGAACGGCGGCTATGGGTTCGGGATAAGACATCATTACGTAGTGACCTTCCAGGATTAGTATGATCAAATGCTTTTACA